GTGGGACCTTCCTGCTGTGTATGATGTATTTAAAAATAGTCCATTGTCAAAGTGAATTGACAATTGCATTTCTGCTCTCTGGATAGACTAAAGTGTATTTTATGCTTCACTAAATTAAATCAAAAATAATTGAAAATATTTGTTTATCATTGGTCTGATTATTTCTCTTTTGAAGAGAGCCCACAGCGTCTTTTTTATTGCTTATGAGCTGAAAAGTTGTTAACGTGCCACACCAGGCATTTTTTTTAATCAATCAATAACAAAAGAACAAGGAATGATCAGAATTTCAGTGAAAGTAATACTCATTGTGAACCCTATCCATTTTCTGACACTGATCTGGGTTATAGGGTCACAGTATAGTAGTGTCCCTTATCAGTCACCTCTGCCAGTTGTTCCTAGGAAGACACCAAGGTAATCTCTCAAGAGTGTCCTGAGGTTGGCTCTGGGTCTCCTCCTAATATGGACAAACCCAAAACACCAAGATGCCAAGGACAGCCTCCTTGTCAGGTGCCTGAACCATCTCATTTGCCGCTCATCTATGTGAAGGGCTCTACTCTACCTTACCATGGTGCTGGGTCACGGGATATGTAGGGGAGTGCGGGTGGGGTCTCCATGCCCAAGTGGTCCCAGAAGCTTTGTTGTCATGAGTTATTTGCCCCTAGTAGGACCTCCCTAGACAAACTTATCCTAGGTGAGGGACCAGATTAAGTGTGATTCAGAAAACCCCACTAAAGAAAAGGAATTCAGTGAAGCCATTTGCCCTGCCCAGGATTCCGGGGCCCCACGCAGGAATCAGGCCTATAAGAGGACCTTTGGTGGGCCCAGCCCGAAAGAGCCACATGAACCCACCCTTCTATGAGCCTTCCATCCAGAGGAGCCACTGGGGTTCAGTGCAAAGTGGACGCCACTCAGGGAGAGGTCCTGGCAGTTTAATCTTGTTGCCATAACTAGCTACAGGGACATTATAAAATCTTTTCCCTCTAAAAATCACATTAATTCAAGTCAGTTTTACCACAAGTTTAATCTCAAATAATCTCATAAAGTAACCAGCAATAGCACATCATACCAAATAAGGCAGCATGGTTAAGCTAATTTTTAATAACCATAACTTACAATTACATGCAAAAAGTGGATTCCTGTTATCTGTCTTTCTTAAACAATGTTTAAAATGGATAAGTGGAGGTGGTGTATTTTTGTACTCAGTCAGTAGGCCCTCACTATCATGCACCTGAAAGTAGGTTAAGCAAATGTAGCACCAATTACAAAGAGCTTGAGAGTCAAAAGAGGCCATGCAACAGCAGATAAAGAGAATGTTAATCTTTTCTGTTGTGTTTGGTTTACTGACAGACAAATCAAAAAAATCACAACATGCAACAAATCAAGAGGGACCTTTATACTACCACCTGCTACAACCAGCAACCTGGTGCCCCTTACAGATGTCATAAACACAGGGCGGCTCTGACTGTGGGAGGCAGGAAATCAGGTTGAGCCATCACACCCCAAAGCCACAGCAGAAGCTGTCAGATCACAAAACAGATACATCTCTCTGCCACCGGCAGCCAGGAGACATCAACTTAATCCTCTCTCACACACACTACTGACACCATGCTGTAAATAAAACACAAGCTGACATAACCACTATGACTTCACCAAATTGAGGGTAGAGATTAAAACTGGGCCATCCCCTAGTACACCCAAAGGAGAGTAAGAGCACAAGGCCGTAATAATTATTATTATAAACTTTTTATATATAATTACACAGTGCCTGCTAAATATTTGGAGACAGATTCTCAGGAGAACAAACAGAAATGGTTGTGAAGGAATTTTAAAGAGATTTCTCAGCTGACTGTAATCATACCAAACCAGACTTCATTATAAGAGTCAAGACGGTCATTAAAACAAGCGAGCATCTTTCTGACGGCTGTCACCATCACAGCTCAGCTCTGGCACTGACAGGCCTCTCCGGATGAACAAATAAACAAAACGTTAATGTAAAACTGGAAGCTGTGTCCATTTCCCACAAGCCGGGCCTAAATCTTAGGCAAGTACCATTAGCTCCGTTACATATAATAAAGCCACAGGAAGCTGCACTGCTTTGCGACGCTGCATTGACGGACTTGGGCACTTGCTAGCATTAACTAGCTGGCACCGTGCAATAACTGCACCTTGCTAGTCAACAACCAAAGCTGAACAAAGCCGGTAACCGGTGTTGAGATACGGTGATAAAGCTTTACTGTACCTAATAGTACCTCTTTATTTAACATTATCATGTACCACCACTTTTACTGGAACATGCCAGTTATATCTGATAATCAGTGGTGTGGCGTCAACTCCCCCCGTTAGCTTTGACAACCGGCTTCGGGAGCTAACGTTAGCACAGTTAGCTAGGTAATTGTCCCCTCCCCTCCCAGCTCCCTCCAAACGAAACCATCATCCCCACGTCCAACCTCTGCTATTAATCACTAATTAAACATCACTATGTGCTACAGTCACAGGGGAAAATTATGCATGAAAACACAAGTAATTTCTGCGTTACCCACGTCAAAGGATACTGGGGTGGCTGAACAGCGCCGGGCTGAGGAGCAGTTGGGGCTCCCGGCGGCAGAGACACGGAGGTCAGGGTAGCCCGCAGTTGGCTCGACGGAGAGGGGCCACTTCCAGGTCCGCTAACTGCGACAGCGGCGGGTTTGGGGACCACTTTCGGTGGCAAACTCATCGCAAAAAAATCAATAACAAATAAAAACAATATCTTAATAAATACTGATGCAAACAGCGCCTAGCCTGCATACATAGAGCAAGCGTTGCGGATTCTTGAAGCAGGCCCCAAAATCCCTTTAACGAATTGGGATAACGAAGCTCGAATAGCAACACAAACGTCTTTTTTCATGGAAAGTCGCTGTTAGGATCAGCGGTGCTATTCATGGGGACGGTGGGAGGTTTAGCCTCCCTCACCCGTCCGGAACCTCTGCGGATCCGGCTCGGTTCGTTTCTGTTTAAAAAAAAAAAACAATCGCCGCGATCTTCAACCTCCCTCGGCGATCTACCTTTTCTTCTCGGCAAGTGTGTTTTCTATCATTTTTTTCGCACATAGATGAGAGACTTCGCCAACATGGCGTTGCGGCCGCTTCCAGCAGTCCGGGCAGGACAGATGATTCGGCAATCCTCGGCCAGTTACGGAATCGCTCGGGTAATCAACTAACCTTCAACCAAAACACGAAAACGGCGTGGCTGACGCTCCCCAAATGTGTTCCAAATCAGTTTTTCACTATTTTAAAATCCAGTTTGAAATTAGAATTAATAACGGTCGCATCACGACTGTAACTGCTAACTGTAACAAACCCGGCTCCTTTTATTACTACTAAAATAAATTAATGAGATTGCACAGGTGTTTATAGTAAATTAGGTTTCTGTATGGACAAAAATAATCATCTTACGTATTCGGCTATTGAAGTACCAGCGCTGTGCGTTAACAATTGTGTGTTATCACTGCCATCTACCGTTCTCGCGTTTGAGTCGCAAGGCATTTCCCTTAGATCAAGGATGCCCAACTAATTTACTTCATAAGTCACATCCCAATGTGATCTCAAGTAGGCAAGACCAGTGAAATTAATCATGAATTAAAAGATCCCAATTCATTGTTCCTAATTCACCCCTTTTAAGTGCACGAATATCAAACAAATCTGGGACTAAATGCAACCCAAATCGACCAAACTTGTGCATTATGACCTGGGAATACCAGCATTACAACACAGCACTGATTTTTTTCTTCTTTTATTAAAAGTGAGCCAGTGAAAGACCCTTTACCCCCACTTAAAAATCTGAGACATAAGGGAAACAATTTGAGATTATTGCCTTCCTTATTCAATGTATTCATTTACAAAACAGATGCCCAAGATCTTTTAAGATAGTCCAAGGAGGAATCTACATTTTGCATCACCTTAAAAGGAATAGCAGTACATTTTATTGAAAAATTTCAGTAGTTAATGACTTGAGTGCAGTACCTTAAGTTGGGAGGTGGTGAAAACAATAAAATTAGAGGACTTAAGAAAAATTGATATATGCAGCAGCTGTACATCCATTCATCCTCTAGTACCCTGCACGCATAGGCAGGGTAATAACCATGAAGGAGCCAGAACATTTAGAAAAAACAAAAACCTCAAGCTGTGAGCCAATTTCCACCCTCATACTGTTGCTAGTTTGTCTAATCATATTATGTACTTCTGACAAATCAAAACCGGTCTACATGAAATGTTCTGAATGCACAAAGGTTTTGAACATGTCTGAGCCATTTAAAAATCTGATTTATGATCAGGCAACATATTCATTTACACCTATAACCTACTACTGTAAAAGACAAAGTAACCCAATATCAGAAATTCAGATTACACCTGAATCAAGGCAAACTGAAGATAACAGAAAGCCAGATCATCAAGTTTAGTCAAGAGGGCTAATGAACAACAACTTGAGGATTGTATTGCTAAAGAAAAAAAACAAAACACCCACCAAAGTGGAAGAACCTTACAGCATTAACTTCTAGTCTATGAATTTGGCAGGTGTCACCTGTGCCCAACTCTTTTCATAGATATTTCAATGAAACTGATGCAGAAAACATTTTGCAAAAAGTCAAAATGACACCCAAAATTAGCCCAGGGAAGACCACTGGACCCAAACAAAACGTATGCAGAATCTGAGCCTCTGGTCACCGTGTGTCAGGTCAGAATCTTGCCTGTGAATTAAAGTGATGCATGAATCAAATAAACTGAACAAGGGAAATGTTTGTAGTTTGGTTTTAATGTACAAAATTTGTGACAAAATGTATAAATGGGTATGGCACATTGTGGCTCTGCTTACTCAAGTTCTGAATGACACTGACCAAACTGTACACATTTTTGGAATATTAAGTGTTAAAAGGCAAACACTTGCATCATTAAAACAGTATTTTTTTTACCCCTTAACGGCTTTAAAAAAAAACAAAACAGTGTTAACTGCACTTTCCTCAGGTTAAAAAATAAAAAACAAACAAAAAAAAATATTTTAATTCCTGGTTCACTTGTATAAAAGAACAAAAACTTTAAATATAACATTCAATAAAAGCAGCAGATAAAAGCTCAGTGGAAAGTAACAAAAAGTCCCATTAATCTGCTCATTTGAAAATATGAAGCCAGAAGAGTGGTTCCTCCATCGTAACTATCAGGTGGTTTTTCAAAGCGTTCAAACAAACCAAAAACAAAATAAAGCGACATTAAATCTCAATTTCGGGGAATGCAGTTTGCTAAAACAGTCTTTGCATAGAAGTAGTGAAGACTGCAATCCTTCCAACACAGCAGCCACATTTTGTCCCGATAAACAGCCTGATAAGCACTAAGTAGCAAAAGGGGACTTTCAGTCTCATGAGGCTTTGTTGGCATCTTAAACAACCCCCACCCCCAGTGTCAGTTTCACTCCTGTTAAACTCCGTGATCAACGAGGCATCACCAAAGCTCACACTTGTGATTTGGGTTCATGGGAGTATCTGCTTTGCATCCAAAGTGCTTTGAGAATTCACGTGAATTTGACACTGTGCCGATGACCCTGAATCTCGGAGGACTGTGAGGATCTGTCATAACGCCCTCATGCGAGCTCTCAGGTGTCTTGACAGAGCACCATACCTGTGAGAGGAACAGAGATGAGACAAGGATGAGTTATTTGTCTACCTAATCCTTCAGAGTTACTCAAAAAGCTGTTGAGAATAATTTGCTTTGGTGCAAATTACCATGACAACAGGTACATTTGAGAGGCAACAACAAGACAAGCCCAAAAAGTTTGATTTGTCTCCCACTTTGATTTTTGGAGTGATTTTCAGTTCCACAGACTAGTATGTACTTTCCAACTTTCATATTTTATTCATCAAGATCCAGTGTGTGATTTAAGTGTTCCTTTAATTTTTGAGCAGCATATCTTGAGAGACTTTAAGATCAAAATCTCTCTATTCAAACCTGTCCCCTCCACCACCCATCTTATAGCAGTGTTTTAGCATTGGTGTTTATTACAGAGTTTTACACTACAAAGCTTATAATAGGTCTTGTTGTCTTCCTACAGCCATGGTTTTGCATACAAGCATACAATCGAGATCTGTGACATACCAGCTTTCTTAGAGCCTGTCAGAAACAAACAGGAACAAGTGTGGCAAACTTGTGTATCCTTTGAGTGTGGTAAATGCAACGCTGAGAACCAAGCCAAGATGGTAACCACAAATTGTTATTCTGAACAGTTTACAGCTCAAAGCACACCCCCAGATGTGTATTAAGGCTTTAAAGCAGAAGCAGTGTTGGTTGGTACAAACCTGGGCAAACCCCACAAAAAACAGCTGATGGTTCGTCATTCCCAGCGCTGGCAGCGTGGCCTCCTCACCGTTCTTTTTAATCCAGTTTAAATAAGCCTTCAAAACAAAAAGAAGCACCTCAATTTACTTCTAGGGCATCACTTTTGCTTCTATAGCATTTGGTCATCTGCCTCACAGCTTATGACCTTTCATTACATGGAAAGAATGTGTGCATGTGAAGTAGTAACTAGAGGCTGACAAGGCCACTCATAGCCACCTGTTGCATTTCCAGGCTTCACTGTAAACTAGACAACCTTTTTCCAATACAGATTAATGATATGACCCACAGCAGGCCTGAGAGATAAACTGCTACAGGGGCTTAATGGCAAATCTGTGCACTGCTCGTCTGACCTTGTAAGCATGCAATGTGTCAAAACTTGGTTATAACCCAAATACAGTCTTATACCAGCATTGCTCACAGAAAGCCCCTTTCTGCACATTTAAATATTTCATGAGGTTTCAAGGTGAGCCGTGCTTCTTATCTGACAGACGTTGTAAGCAGCCTTGAGTCCACCGTTGTCAGCGATGTTTTCTCCCAGCGTTTGTCTTCCATTCAGAGACTCTTGGTTGATGCTGTAATTGCCATACTGCTCCACCATGCACTGGGTCTGCGTCTTGAAAGCTTCAACAGAAGAGTTCTTCCACCAAGGGCGTAGGTTTCCATCTTTATCATACTCCCTGCCTTTGAATACAAATATTATTAGTTTTGGTCAAGTTTAAGTCACTCTGAAAATACAAATTAAGATTTTTTTACCTTGGTCATCAAATGCATGAGTCAGCTCATGGCCCATGACAACTCCAATTCCACCAAAATTGAGAGCTCTACACAATAAAGAAAATTTAGAGGGTTGTTAAACAGATTTGCTGAGTTTTAAGTCACAGACAATGATTTAAAGCCAAAACTGACATCTTTTGATCGCCTATGATATCATCACCCATGATGACTCAGACCTCAGAGGCTTAAATAGTGTAGGTGCTGGTCTCAAGTGTGAGAAAGTCATTTGTATTTCACGTTAATCTAAGTGGCTACTGGCTTCAAGTGAACACAAAGACTAAGAAGGTGGAAAATTGTGTTTGGGTGGAACAGCTGTTAGCACTGTTGCCTCAAAGCAGCAGCTCTGGATTTGAATCTCAGTAGTATATGAATGTGAGTAAATGTGACGGTCAGTTTGTCAGCCAAATATAAATGCCTTTCACAGCAGAATAAAGAGTGTTAATTACTTTACTTAGCAAACTCCAACAACACATGGAGGACATACTTAGGCCAAGAGCGACTGTAGAATGGAACTTGCAGGATTCCTGCAGGCAGAACCATCTCATTTTTTGTTGGGTTGTAATAGGCATTTACTGTTGGAGGGGTCATGCTCCACCTGCAAAACAAGGTACAAGAATGCACCTCATGAGATCAACATCAAGTTCCTGTTCCTACACAGACTTCAGATCAGTTTGAAACTAATGGGAACCTTAATCTAACCCCTCCTCCATAGCTCAATTAGAGACAAAGTTTGGTTCTGCTACGTCAGTATAATGCACACACGCCAATAGAAATTCACTCCCATAACAGTGTGCTACCTCCCCTGTGAGAAGGATGGTGGGAAAGAGGGTTAAAACTGAGGAACTCACTGGTTTCGGTTGGGAGGTTTCCTCAGCTGGTCTGCAGTCACTCTGCCTGAGAAGTTGTAGTACTGCATAACATTCTGGAAGTAAAGGCCTGACACCACAGCAAACTGAAAGAGGAATCAAAGTAACAGAAAATAAAATTCAGCATTTTAATCAGGCAAAAGAGACCATGACAAACAAAAGTGAGAAGTTAGGACCTGTAATCCACTTTTGCATTTACCTACATCATTGAACACTTTATCCAGTTTCGTGCCATTCATGATGAATTCAGGATACCCGACCATGTTGTATATTGCATCTGCCTGTGAAAGATGACAATTTGTAAGAGACATATTTTCACAGCAGATGGCAGTGCTGCATTTCTCTGCCACTTCTACACAGAAAACAGTTCATGCACAGATGTCACCATAAAGCACCAGGGGGATGCTTTATACCCACTTTTTCTTTTGCTGCCTTTTTTGTTTCTGTGTCCATCCAGCTCACATACTTCAATCCATCCTCAAATGCCTGCTTAATTTCTGTAACCATTTTCTCAGCCTGAAGCACAGGAAGACAAAGAGACGTCAATCGATCTCTCGCAGATGCTATTTTGAAGGAAGAACCTTGAAACACTTACAATGGCTTTGCTGTCCTCAGCAAAGGTGGCTTTGACAAACATCGCGCCAAGAGCAAAGCCCAAGGCACTGTCTGTGTCGCTGACGCACAGCTTCCAGCGTGGAGTGCAGCTCTGCAAAAAACCCAAGACGCGTTAAAGAAAACGATGCACCCTTCACTGGTTGTTAGGTGTCATTTGCCTTGTGCAGTGTTTTTTTAGGCTGCCATATTTTTCTTGCTTCAGATTAGTTACCACCTCCTAGATTTCCCAGATTACACATGACTAATCCTCATAAGTTTTAACTTGCTGCATTTAAATTGCCTAGAACCCCGACTATGATAAACAGATCTACATGGCTAGAAATAAATTCACCAATTTTGAAGTGGAGGTCTGCATCCTGCTTATTGCATTCCTGCTGTTAGAATATATAATTAAGGTGTAACACTACTATTTTTTTGAACAATTTTATGAAGGATGCCAAGACCTCTGATAGAAAGTGAACCATATACTTGATAAATTGCTTGGTCTATGACCTTCGAGCTGTTATTTTAAGCAAATTTTAAATGCCATCTCTCTAGGCTCAGCGATTGTATATAGCTCACAGCACTCTACATGCCACACCCAATTTTTGATGCTGCCCTGAGTCACAACACACTCATACCAGAAACTCTTTCATTTGTTAAGTAGTTACATTTGTCATTTTCCCCTAAATCTAAAATGCACTTTAAAACAAACCTCAGTTATTTAAATTAAATTTTGCAATTACAAAATTAATTTCTCATAACAGTTTTTAAAGGTTTTCCTTGTATTTGCAAAGTCTAATTTTGCTACCTCTAGATTAACATAAGTTTATCTTCAGGTGAAAATGACAGAGCTGTAGGCAAAAAAAAAAAAAAAAAGACGCAAGCGTTCAGAGCAAGAAAACGTTAGAATCCGCTCGGCATACAGATGGAAAATGAGATGTGGAACAGAAACAAAGACGCACGCAGAGTATTGGTTTGTTATTTCAGCTTGACCCCAGTGGGTAACGAGACAGGGAACAGATCTTCCTCCAATAAGGGATGAAGTCACTGGAGTATTCACAGTCAAACAGGAAGCACAACTTTAGAGATTGAGCTGACCTTCCATAAAGTTTTATTTGTTTGAAAAATAAAAAAATAAAATCTGTAGCATCATTGTGTTTCGTAGAGCAAATCATTTGGGTTTTATTTACTGTAAAAATAACTCCATATTAACCTTTGCTCTCTAGAAAGTTGAAACTGCTCTTTGTATGTCAGCCATTTTTTCCTCTATTATAGGAAAGTAGTGTGAATACTTTGCATTCACAAGACTGCAGATTATCTGTACTCTTTCTGGGGAGGTGTGACGTCATTTACTGCCACTGTATTTATGTAGCAGCCAACTCAAGACCTGGACAGTTTAACTCCGCTCTCTACAAAGTTCAACATAATGAGTCAGGTGAGCAAACTTGCTGTCATTTTTGTGAATGCACCCTTTGATCTGAATTTAAATGTCACAAGACTGTATGCTTACATTATGTCACTGAGCAAACTCTTAAAGCAGGAATTACTCAACAAGCTGTCATTTCTGAATCAACCCAGAAACTTTCAAATGCAAGTAAAAACAAAGAAGGATGCAGTTTGGAGTTGGAGTGTTTTCAGAGCAGGAAACTGCAGATTCCCGTTACTGTGTCTGCATTTTATGAAGTGAACACTTTACATATTCATTTTATTCTTACTTCTGCCCCTAGCTGTTACTGCCACTCGTTTCTAAGAAGGTGCATATTTAAGCCATCTATAATGCAAGTTTGAGCCTTCTGCTATTAGACACCTCTCCAGCTTTGATTCTGAAGACAGACACCCTCTCTACTTTAAGATTAGATGCAAGGCTGTTTGATAAAGCTTACAGTTAGGGCTGGATCAGGTGACCTCAAACCATCTCCTAGTTATGCTGCTATAGGCTCACCACTGAGACACTTCCCCTTATGCACTAAAGAGACCCCCCCCATGCCTTTAACGTTTGTCTTCCTCTCCTGTAGTCTGGTGGCTGTTTAAGTTCTTCCTCCCCACTGCTGCCAAATAGTTTCACATATAAGGGCAGTCTAATTGCTAGAATTTGTAGAGTCTTTACAATATAAACTGCCTTCTGATTACTGATGTGAACTTAATTTACTTAGGATCACAAAAGGATAGAACCCATCCCTACAGAAGCAGTATTATAGAAATAAATACAAATTGATCTGGCAAAGATTTAACATTAACACCAGTTAAAGCTGGTTTGACATGTTTTTATATCCAATTTAACTGCCAGTGCCCAGATGCATTCCAATATGCCCATCGAGTGTTGAGATAACCAGGAAGACATTGATTATAGTGACAAGGCCTAAGGCTTCATCCCTTACCTTCTTGGTTCCATACATGACCTCAAGGAAACGCTGCTCTGCATCCTGGAACTTTTGGTCCAAAATTGAGGCCATCTTTCTCACTACTTTCATCATCATGTAGTTGTTGAGAAGGCTTACAAAAGATAAAAATATCTGTTAATTGAAGAAGGGGCAATTCACAATAAATCCAAGCAGTTGGTCTTATCATGTAAATGTACAAGAGTTATTGTAGACTGTTGATCTCCTCTGCTCCATTTTATTTATTTGACTGCATAATAAATCTAGGGGAACATATTTACATAGCTGTGTTCACAACGTTATGCAACCTGTCTTTGACACGTTAAAGAAAAAAATGATTAAGAGTTTCTTTGCACCTCACCTTTTATTTGTTTTAGTTATGAGGTCAGACACTTTCTGGAGGTATTCTTTGGCATAAACCACCACTGGCTCTGATCCATTAAGTGACACAGAAGCAAACATTTCTCTGAGGTATGGCATCCAGTCCACTGCTGGAGCTAGAGTCTGCAACACACAAAACAAGCAACTGAGGAATGATGAGAAGAGTCTGGGCTTCTTTACAGTGATCTTTACATTCATGGTCATTCACAGTGCAGCTGACATTTGAAGAAAGTCAAAATACTGCAAACATTTGTTCTTCCCTTTGCCGATACCATCAAAACTGAGGCCTACACTGGAAGTTCAGCATACTTTGCCTATCTGACTTCACTCACCCCAAAATCTTTAAATGGCAGTCACACAAAGGCTCTCAGTAAACCACAGCATTTCCTGATCTAGCTACAAGGTATCACATGCAAACATACAGTGTGCAGCATAAAGCCAGCCACAAACAAAACAAAGACATAACTTAGACATAAGAAACCTATAATATTAGGAAAAACATGAAATGCTTACTCCAAGCTTGAAGCAACAGAATCGCTCTTACTAACCAGTACTGTTGTTACACAAGAGTGCTTGTAGCAATCCACATCTTATGATACGCAACTGGGAAAGACTTTACACAATTGCTAAGACATACTCCAGGGCCTGTTAAGTCTGCAGTAGGAACTGAGACAGCTTTGGAACCCCAGAAACATGCAGTTAAACCTGAAGTTAGAAGAAGAGATCTCTGGAGACACTCACTGTCAGGTCCTTTGCCTCCATCTTATTGTAAATGAGCTCCTCATCTCTTCTCTCCTCCTGAGGGACTGTGATGTTGGCCAGGGTGGTTTCAAAATCTAAAACTTCCTCCATCATGGCCCGAGAACTTTCCTTTGTGCCACCCAGAAGAACTCCCAACTCCACTAGAAAGTTGAGGTATGCTGTCAGATACTATAAAGAAAGGCAGCACATTGAGACAGGGTTGTATGGAGAAAATGTTTGAATGCATTATAAACTTAAATTAGGAAAGAATTCAAACTATGGAACCACATGCTACTATGCAGAGTTTATCCCCCCGAGGCCAAAATAGGAATATTATTAAATATTTGACTTCCTTTTGTAACAAGGCAACGAGGCTCAGGGTGTGTTTAAATTACTGTGCACCCTTGCATGCAAACTGTCATAACTAAAACCAGTCTAACACTGTAGACAATACCTTTTCATTTGCAGTTTTGTTGAGGTAGTAATCACGTGAAGGTAGTCCCAGGCTGGTCTGATCCACCTAGTGTTAAGAGAAACAGCCTATGACTCCGTTCGGCCTCTGTATAAGCTCAAAATCAGCCCTTTTGTTTTCATTTGGCAAGTTTCTGCATTAGCCTGGCAACTCCAGCATGTAGGCTAATGCAGAAACTTGCCAGAGATCCCACTTTTTCCTTTTTGTCATAGTCTTGTGACACCCTACAAAAGGAATGAATTCATTTGAAAGCAGATAGACCAATACTGTAGCAATAACAAAGGAATCGGTCCAAGAATAATAGATAAAACCTGTCCTCGAGGAAGCTGTTAAACCTTTAACTTCTGTTCTTCTCACCTGGATGATGTTAGTACTGGAGTTTTTGGAGTCTGTGCTGACAAACACAGTGAAGAAAGGAAAAGTACGCAAGTTGACAGACACGGTTCGCAGAACTTTTTGGAAGTTGTCCTTGTCCCAAGGTTCAGTAAGACCCCATCCTCCGATCTGGAACAGACAGGAATTAAGCACACTTTCAGAAACTAATGGAGCCAAGAAAATCAATTTTATTAAAATCAATAAAAATGATTTCTTTTAAAGTTGAATAACCATACCTGGTCAATTAGTTGTTGGAGTGGCTTAGCTCCCAGTTCCTCAATCTTGGTCTCATTCATGCAGGCCTCATAATATCGCTGGGCCTTTTCTTCAGCATCACTTAAACCTTTCATTGTTGTGTTTTCTGCCCAAATACAATGAAATCACACCAGTGGAAAAAACAAGCTAAAAATATGGGGGTAAAAAAAACTAAAAACACTGAACTGCATTCAAATAAAGGATCTTTACCTAATAACTGCTTCATTACAAGCATGTTGTGTTCCCACAGGTTGCTGAAAGAACCCCAGCGGGACTTGCCCTCATATAGTGGGTTGTTTTTTATCCAGCCCCCACAAGCAAAGTTATAGAAGTCCTGGCAGGGATCTACGGATCGGTCCATTGCTCCCAGAACCGCACTGGCCACAGTAATGCATGGCTCTGTTAGGCACAAGCCTGGGTGTGCTGTTGCACAAAAAAAAGCAAAAAACTGTTTTAAAGCATATTAAATTCATGGATAATTCACTTTCAGCATTATCAGCTAGTGGGAAACAACCAAAATGGATAATCTGAAAATAATTCATTGTGGGATCAGAAAACCAGGGTTTTCTGACCATCTGGAATCCATCATCTTAGAAGAACAAATATACAACCTGAAGGGACTGCGTATATTGCAATATTCTTTAGAAATAATAGTGATACGTGGCAGGTCTTTGAGGAAGTGGCATGTTCCACTAATAAATAATTATTAATCAAAGTGTCTGATTAATAGATGAATATATTAAACAGAAAAGGGCAGAAGACTGAGGATTACTTCAGCAATCATTTCATTATTTCAGGAGTCAAGTACAGTTTTTATACAAACACCACAAACATGTCTTTTGAGCTGTTTTAACATCCAAATCTAAGATGACACTTTCCCATACAGTATATATGTGTTAGTTCTCTAGAACAATAAAGAGGAACCAAGCAGAGCACTGAGGCTTATAGATTCTCTGTTCTAAACATTAAAGCTGTTGAACAGAAACCTTTTAACATTTACAGAAGTGTAAGCAGTGAATACCTCTACTACAAAACTTCCTGTAAGACCTTCAGCTTGTCCATATAAGGTATGAGACAGAGACCGAGACATATGTGCTGTGATGATGTTAGTACCCTTAGGAGGTTTCATCCTTGTTCCTTTTGTTATTTCAAAGTGTGATCTGACTTGTGGTGCTGAATTGGAGGAAGTGGCATTACGTTTCCCATGGTAAATTTAAGGAAGCTACCATTGATGAGACGCCACCAGGATGTCAATACAATTCCATAAACTCCTTTTTCCATAATGAACAAGGTCAAGAGAGAGAGCTAGGGTTGTTTTTAAGCATCTAACAATCACATTTCTACTTTAGACTTTTCTTCCTCATCTCTCACATACAAGAAACTAATCCCCACTAGCCAAAAATAATAAAATGAATAATTCGACAACACTGTGCAAGACTTTTCTCTTTCACTAGCTATATTAGCACTTTTGTGAAGGAATATTAGGACCACAATAATATACATTTAGGATTTTTGTAAAAATTTAGCATGGGATTCTACCTCAGTTGGCAATTTTACTTTATTACAAAACAAATTATAATTATATTTATTTATTTTTAAAAACTCATTGAATTGCATTATTGAAAATTCTCCTATAAACCATCTTTCATTATAGCAAAGTTGATTTCCACTCTTGAGGTAAGATATCAGTACTGCGCATGTCTGGAGCTGGAACTACACTGAACAAAAATATAAATGCAACATTTGTCTTTGCTCCCATTTTTTATTGAGCTGAACTCAAACATCTGTGTATGTAGAAACATTTTCAGCAGACCCATGATTCTCAAATATTGTTCTCAAATCTTTATAAATCTGTGTTACCAAGATAATCCATCCCAGGTGTGGCATATCAAGGGGCTGATTAGACAGCATGAATAATGTACAGGTGTACCTTAGACTGCCCACAATAAAAGGCCACTCTGAAATGTGCAGTTTTGCTTTATGGGGGGGCAGAAAACCAGTCAGTATCTGGTGTGGCCACCATGTGCCTCACGCAGGGCAACACATCTGTTGCATTGAGTTGATCAGGTTGTTGATCGTGGCCTGTGGAATGTTGGTCCACTTCTCTTCAATAGCTGTGCAAAGTTGCTGAATATTGGGAGGAACTGGAACACTGTCGTATACGCCGATCCAGAGCAACCCAAACATGCTCAAGGGGTGACATGTCTGGTGAATATGCTGGCCATGCAAGAACTGGGATGTTTTCAGCTTCCAGGAACTGTGTACGGATCCTTGCAATATGGGGCCGTGCATTATCATGCTGCAACATGAGGCGATAGTCGTGGACGAATGGCACAACAATGGGCCTAGGGATCTCGTCACGGTACCTCTGTGCATTCAAAATGCCAGCAATAAAATGCACCTGTGTTTGTTGTCCATAACATACGCCTGCCCATACCAGAACCCCACCGCCACCATGGGCCACAACGTTGACATCAGCAAACTGCTCACCCAGACGACGCCACACACGCTGTCTGCCATCTGCCCTAAACAGTGAAAACCAGGACTCATCTGTGACCAGAACGCCTTTCCAACGTGCCAAACGCCATCGAATGTGAGTGTTTGCATACTCTAGTTGGTGACAACGAACTGCAGTCAGGTCCAGACCCCGATGAGGATGACGAGCATGCAGATGAGCTTCCCTGAGACAGTTTGTGCAGAAATTCTTTGGTTATGCAAACCAATTGTTGCTGCAGCTGTCTGGGTAGCTGGTCTCAGGCGATCCTCTAGGTCAGCGGTTCCCAAATATTTTTGTTCAGTGTATTTAGTTAACTTTGCTATACCAAAGTCTTTCCAGAAACAAATTTCACCACTTGGCTTTTGCTCTGGGCTTGGGAAATACCCCCAAGCAAACACTTAGGGTTTTATTTGAAGTGTTATTAACATTAAAAAAAAAAAAAAAAAAGTTTATGTTAATAACACTTCAAATAAAACCCTAAGTGTTTGCTTGAAGCTTAAAGTTTACAGACTTAGTTTTAATATAATTTCAAGTTTACTTGCCCACTCTTCATTTGGACCATTATAGAATTCTGTCATATTTACTTTTTTACAACATTGAGTGCCATGCCTCTCTCTTCTATAAGGTCTCTGGCTTAGACTTGAAGAAACTTAATCCAGACATTCTAGTAAGAATCTAATAAGTCTAGTAAGAACAAACTTTGCACAACTCCCTATTTAATAACCCCTCGCAAATTGTAGTCTTACAGTCTTTCCTTGTGCAGAACAATGAAAAAAGTGCAGTAAGTAAGCTTTTTGCTATAGTTTCACATTTAGAAGTACAAATATAACCTTTAAACCCTGGAGGCAGGGAAATTCAAAACAAAGCCTGGTGCCTTTTTTTTTAAAAAAAAAAAAAAAAAAAAAAAAAAAAGAGTCATGTCTCTTTGATTAAGCAATGAGGCCAACTGGTACTACTGTAATTAAAATGGGTGTAGCATTCTTGTGCCTTTTCCATTTCATGTTTTGCAGAGGTGACTTTTCAAAACACTTAGGACAGCAGTGGTCAGCATTGTCACTTTAAAGCAAGAATATTCTGGGTTTGGGCCTTCTCTATGGAGTTTGCATGTCTTCCCAGTGTCTGTTTTTTGGCAGACACTCCAGCTTCTTCCCACAATTCAGAGGGTTAGGTGATTTTACAGTAAACTGGCTGAAGATGTAAATGTGAGCATGAACAATTGTCCATATGTTAACCCTGTAATAGCCCAAGACCTGTCCAGGGGGATCTCCCAATCCCACTCACAACCCTGAATTGGATAAAGGGAAGAAAAATGCATGAATGGGGTAGTGCTTTTATGTTTTGCTAGATTTTCTTGAGTCTTGCTCTGGGTTTGTGGACACAAGGTCACCCTTTGCATTTCTACATTGCAAAAGAGTGTCTAATACATCAAGCACAAATTTGTTGATTGACCTCAGCTTTCAAGGGATCAAGCAGGGTCACCTTTGAACCATCTATATTTGTAAGTGTAGCTGTGACCGTTCTAAAAATTCTCCAATAATAATAATAATGTGTCTTCTTCACCTGAAGCTTTCACAAGACGTGTGATGTGGCGAGGAGAACGTAAAGTTGTGTGGGGTCATTTATGACATTTGTAAATACAGGCACTGGGCTCCTTTCAATTTAATTTTTTATTTATTTTATTTTTTAGAATTAAACCTATTTTGAAAATCCAAATATTTTTGATTGTTTCTGCATCATTTTCTTAGTTACTGGAAGCAGCTGATTTTAAAACTTAAGTGTATAAGTTAATTACAGGCTAGGATTCTTTCATTCTTTTGTGGAGTTCAGAAAAAATAAATAAGATTAGAAATATAAAATCACTGAAAGATCAAAATAGTAATATTGAGGTGTCAATAAAACTTTGGACTCACTCTGTTTGTAGAAAATCCCAGTTGTGATGAGAGTTACGAACAGGCCCACTGACAGAATGCACACCAAGCACATTAGCCTCCTCTCCATCCGTGTCCTGCTCGGCCAACACGAGGAACGGCCGTGCAGAAGACTCACCTACACACATACACAAATCTTTTAGATGGCTTTTTAAAATTCAAAGCCACAGACACTACTGCATGAATGACACACAATGAGTGTATTTACTTGTGAACAAAAACTGGAAAATATTGTGTCTAGATAAAGTTTCTCAGGGATTTGATGACAGGTATGGTTTCACAGCACAATGGCTTCTCCATTAGTCTCCTCAGCCCTCATACACTGAAAGAGGTCAAGCATTCTTTCATTGTTTCCTCACTAATAAAAGCACAGTTTACTTTTGGCCTAATATAAGACAAGACAACGCTGAACTTTATCTGCTGCTTTTGGTGTTCACCCTTTAAATGATGAGTTTACTGATAACGATCTGTTGAAAAGTGGCTCAAAGACTGACTCCAAGAGTCACTCGTATCCTTCAATGGACACATTACAAACTCTGGTCAGTCTGAACGAGACTCCTATAAATAAATGGTGACTTTTGTTCATTCCACACACTACACCATGTTGAAGCCAGGTATGCCAAATCTATAAATATAGGGATCAGATTTGCTGCTATTAGTAGACATTTTCACAAGGTTAAAGATATTTAACCAGCTTAAAAAAACACAAAAAAACAAAAACCAAAACACTACAGGCAGATGTTGTTTTATTACAAGAAACTCAGACCTGTCACAGGTTTAAACGAACTTAAAACACCTGAGTTTCCTAACGTGTTTGCAGCCTGTTATAATTCTAGACAACGGGGAGTAGCAATTTTAATACATAAAAATGTTAATTTTACAGTACTCGATACAGTTATAGATCCAGAGGGTAGATTTCTAATTATTAAACTATCAATATTGAACAAAAAACTATGTATTGTAAGTATATACGGTCCAAATGTTGATGAACCCTCATTCTTCCACGGATTTTTTAGTGCACTCTCTGAACACCTTGATTGCACACTCATTCTTGGCGGTGACCTCAACCTTGGACTAAATGAAGACATTGATAGGCTCAACACAACAGGAACTCAGCGCAATTGGCAGTCCACAAATATAATCAAACAGTATATGAGCGACTTTGGTCTTTGCGATGCATGGCGCTCTCTTCACCCCACCAGTAAGGAATATACTTTTTTCTTGCATGTTCATCACTCTTACTCTCGTCTGGATTATTTTTTGGTCAGCAGCTCACTGCTGTGTGACATTTCAGACACTGAGATTCATCCTATAGCTGTCAGCGATCATGCTCCTGTATCTTTAACACTAATGCACAAGAATAACACTACGCCAAGAAAAACTGGAGATTTAATATATCACTACTTAAAGATGAAGACTTTATTAAATATTTTAAAAAGGAATGGACTTCATATTTAGACTTTAATGACACTCCCAGAATATCTGCTTCTGTTCTATGGGAAGCAGGGAAAGCTGTGATGAGAGGTAAAATAATTTCTTTCTCATCACACAAAAGAGAAGAAAACAAAATATTCAGGAATTAGAAAAAAAAAAAAAAAACACACAATTCCTTATACAAAGACTTCGCTTGCAGAATTTTGAACACAGTAACAAATCAGGTTGATTTCTAGCTAACCAGCTAAAAATAAATAAAGAAAAAAAACAACTATATGTGCTGCTAAAGATTTATCGGGGAACATAATATATGATCCTGGAAGAATAAACAACATTTTTAGGGATTTCTATGAAACTTTATACTCACCACAAATAAACCCATCTAAAAATGAAATTGATCTGTTTCTTGACAACGTAACTCTTCCAAAATTACTAGATAGTCAAGCAATGGAACTGGATTCGCCACTGACGCCAAGTGAACTCCAGGAAGCCCTGATAAGTATGCCCAATAATAAGGCTCCAGGTCCAGACGGCTTCCCTCCAGAATTCTACAAAGAATTCTGGATAATTTTGGCACTAGTATTCCACGGCATGTTGCAGGAAATCGAGGAAAAGGGCAGACTACCACCAAATATGAATTCTGCCAACATTAGTCTCCTGCTAAAACCAGGCAAAGACCCTTTATTTCCCTCAAGCTATCGTCCAATTTCTCTTTTAAATGTAGACCTTAAAATAATCTGCAAAGCTCTCTCAAAGAGATTAGAGAAAATGACCCCCCTCTTAATTCATCCTGACCAAACTGGTTTCATAAAAGGTCGGCACTCCTCAACAAACACTCGTAGATTACTTAATTTAATAGACTACTCATACGATAAAAACATCGAAACCATAATATTATCTCTAGATGCAGAAAAAGCATTTGACAGAGTTAACTGGAATTTTTATTTGCAACTTTACACAAATTTGGTTTTGGAAACTCTTTCATAAACTGGATAAGAATATTATACAATTCCCCAACAGCTCGTATCAGAACAAATGACCAGACATCCTCCAGCTTCTGTCTCCTGAGGGGCACCAGACAGGGATGCCCACTCTCCCCTTCACTATTTGCAATTTTTATCGAACCTCTAGCAGCAGCATTTAGACAGGCTACAACAATTAAGGGCATAAAATGTAAGAACATAGAACATAAAATCAGTCTCTATGCGGATGATGTGTTGCTTTTTCTGCAAAACACACAAACCAACCTCTCTGAGGTAATTACTTTAATAAACTGGTTTTCAAGAGTTTCAGATTATTCAATTAACTGGCCAAAATCTACAGTTCTCCCCATTAACTGCTCCTTCCATAATTCTTCCTCTGCCCCACTGCAATCCGGAAATATTAAATATTTAGGTATTAATGTCTCTCCTAAGCTTGCAGATCTAACTAAATTAAACCACATCCCACTTCTAAAGAAAGTAGAAGGCGATCTGACTAGATGGAAATCTTTACCCATATCACTCATGGGAAGGGTCGCCACTATAAAAATGATGATCTTGCCAAAAATAAATTACTTATTTTCGATGATCCCTAACAAACCATCACAAGATTGGTTCAGATCTCTGGATTCATATATTTCCAAATTCCTTTGGAAAGATAAACCCCCGCGTATTAGCTTAAAAACGCTACAAAGAACCAAGGATAGAGGAGAATTAGATCTGCCTAATTTTTACCAATACTTCTTAGCCAACAGGCTTCAGTTCATCTCAGAATGGTTAAAACATACCCTCTTAGTTGAGCCCTGGCTAGATGTTGAACAGGCACTATGCAAGGATCTAGAGATTTCAGACCTACCATTTATTAGCTCAAACATCAAAAGACATGAATGCTTTAAAAGTATCAACATCAGCTTTTCTCTGACTGCATGGTGGGAGTTTCTAAAAATAACGGAGTCTTCATTAATCCCATGCAAACGTACACCTATCTGGAATAACCCTGACATATTACAAAACAATAATATGATTAATTTCACAGAATGGAGTTGTAAAGGAATTAAATACTTAGAACATATATTAGAGGGAACAGAATTTAGTCCATTTGACAGACTAGTTGCACAATATGGGATCAACAAGACAAGATTTTTAGAATATCAACAAATTAAATCCATAGTAAAAAAGAAATTTAACCTCAGTCAAGTTGAATTACAAACACCACTAAGTGCGGCACATTTCCTTACTCTTAAATCCCCCAAATTATCTAAAATATACAGAACACTTTCTAAATTAGATAAATCAATATCCCTTCCTATTGGAAAGTGGGAAGCAGATTTATCAGTCAGCTTAGACCAAAACTTCTGGTCTCAGATTTGCTTAAAAACCTTTAAATTAATTAAAAATCCCAGTCTGCAATTAATACAATACAAAATACTACATAGAGTGCACTATACAGGTCATTGGATGTTCAAGATGGGCTTTGCATCTTCCAACAACTGCTCACACTGTCAAGGCAATACACCAGACAATTACATTCACGCTCTTTGGTTCTGTCCACCAGTGCAAAAGTTTTGGCGCGAGATATGTGAAGACTTATCAAAGTGTCTGAAATGTAACATTCCAACTTCCCCCTTAGTGTGTTTGTTGGGCAGCTTAGATAATGTCACTTCAGAAAAGAATATAGCCCATATGATTTTCACTGCCCTATGCATAGCCAAGAAAACAGTCCTCATGAACTGGAAAAATAAAAATAATCTTAATTCTAACCAATATAGAAATTATCTATTAGATTACATTAGTCTTGATACAGCCTCTGCCACCACATCAGATCAATTGCTCTGGACTCCTTTTATCAGCTCCATCACCTAGTGGGGTGGGGGATCATAATTTGGTCCCACCTTCACTGTTGTGATTGGTGTGGGGGTAGGGACAAGCTTAGGGCGTCGGGGGGTTCCCCGGAGGCATCTTCCTTGGGGGCTCAACCCGGGGTAGCGGTCATGTCCGGTTGGGGGCTCTGTTGGCTCTCAGGTGACTGTTTCCTCGCGGCTGCGTGCAGCGGGGCTAGGGGAGGGTCTGTGCTGACGGACGTGGGTTACTGACCTGGTAGCCTGGCTGGCCCTGGGTGGGTCCGGGATGGGCGTGAGGTTCTGGGGGCGCTCCGTCTCTGGGCTGGGGCGGGTGGGTGCATGGGGGCCCGGCCCTGGAGCAGGGTGCCGCCGGTGCGTCAAACCGCCTGGGGGGGCTCTTCAACTGGTGGGGAGATGGTCACATCTTGCAGGAGCTTTCCTCTCTTCAGGAACTCTCTCTGCAGGAGGGGGAGATACAGGAGAGGTGGAGGAAGATCTCAGCCTGGGCGTTTACCGTCTTATGTAGTCTGGAAGATGAGTGGATGGTGGGGTGGGTGCAGTTTTCTCTGTGGTGGGGTTGGGTGGACTGTCCCGGGCTCTGTGGGGCCGGGAGGCGCTGCTGCACTGGGGCCGGGAGGCGCTGCTGCACTGGGCCCCGGTCTGGATGGGCCTGGGCCCCCTTTCCCTGGCGGGTCGCGGAGTGTGGGAGTGCCTACTGGGGTCAGCGGGGGAGCTGGCCCCAGGGAGGGGTTACCTGCCCCTCCCTTCCTTCCCTCCCCATCTCCAGCTGCCTCTCTCTTCCCGCTCCACCACAACCACCCACACATGCAGGGCCTTGGCGTAGGGGTATGTCACCAGGGTGCAGAGGAGGCTACCCCCCCCCCTCTGTCCCCTTCTGGCTGCCTCTGCCTCAATTTTATCCCACAACTTAGACATTCACATTACTCACACCCTCATTACACATACATATAGGATCTTGGGGGTGGGCACGATACACGGAGTCCAAATTACCATCAGGGTGTACACCTCACCCCTGGCGTCGTTGCCCACCTCTCAATTTTAAATACACTTAGACATTGAGGGCTAGCAGGAGGGACCATGCGCTTACCTGCTGCTCCTTGGCAGGTAGCTCCATGCCCTCCTGGGTTTTAATTGCACCTTAGAACACACATGCATCAACACTACAATAAGCGGGTGGAGGGAGGTTTGGAGTCTTCTCCCACCCCCATTCTCTGTGGCCTGCTGGAGCGGGAGGGCTAGGTGGAGTTGGCTGTCCGACTGCGGTCTGGAGTGTGGGGCCTCCCTGCTGCTACGGAGTCGGGGTGGTCTGCCTCTCCCCACCGCAGGGAAAAGGGTAACACCACCTGGGTCTGGGTGCAGTTCCCCCCTCCAGGGGCAAGGGTACCTAGACCCGGTTTGTAGAGTACGCTTGGGGAGTGTGATCGTGTGCACAGCGTCTCTTTATGTCTGTCTCCACGTTGGTTGAGTGTGGAGTGAGTGCATATGAGAGCATGAGGGGGGGGGAATGGATGTTTGTGTCTGTGTGTGCCTGTATGTCTGTGTCTATATGTCAGGTTGGGTATCAGACGCCACCTCTCTGGGGACACCTCAGGCTCTCCAAGGTTTGGAGGCCTATCTCCACCCACCACCACTTCCCCTGCCAGTGGCGGACTCCCTCAGGGGTCGGTGCGTTGGTGGTTCTTTGTGTGTGGGGGTGGGCGTCCGGGTACACACCGGCTCACTCCTTGACGGCCGCTTATCGGGGCCTGGAGCCTGGGGCTCGCTCGGGCCCCTTCGGGGGTGGGGTGCCCCCGGCCTCTCGGCCTGGGGCTCGGTCACTCAGGCACAGCTGGCGGCCGGCGGAGCTCACGGGCGCGTCACTGCAACTCCCCCTGGCTTCTGCTCCGCGGCTGCTGAGTGAACCCTCATCTGGGACTCTCCTCAGCTCTTACTGGAACAGTGGCGCGGCTGCCCCTCTGTTGGTCTTCCATGGTTTCTTGTGTTCTGGGGGCCTCTGGATGTCTGGAGTTTTGATCTCCTCCATACCTGCTTCACACCCTGGAGGACGGGGCTGTGGCCCCCCCCCACACTCCCTAGCAGATCGTTACATGGAGAAACCTTTGGAATACAAGCGCGCTGATCCACACAGGTATGCACACGGGTGTTCACTGCTCGTAGACCCAAATTACACCTTTCTTGGCTGCTACTTCGAAGCACATCTGTCCTGCGTGCTGCACAACAACATTGAATATTTAGTATTTACTGCTGTTTACACTTAGCTAGATTAATGCGATTGTGTTGTGTTTAGTATGTTGCTTTGTTTTTTTTTTTTGTCTTTTTTTGTTTGTTTTCTATTCTTCTCTCAACAGGTGATCCAGGAGATTTTTATTTTTTTTCTTCCCCCCTTTCTCACTGTCCCTCTCCCCTTCTGTTTTTCCTTTCCTTCCTCTTTCTTTCTCCCTTTCCTATCTCTCACTCATGTCTGTCCCGTCTGTAACATCTGAAAATAAAATAAATAATAAAAACAAAGATCGACCAAATGGACCAATACGGCAATGCCACGATGATCCATTCGGCAAAGTAAATCCATTGGGTATCCTTGTTGGTCTTCAGACAACAATTCTGATGGCTAAAGAACCAAATGGGACAGGCGGAAAAAAAACAAAACAAAAAAACAACAACACATTTTCACAAGTCAAATTAAAGTGTGATCGAAGCAAAGGCGGCTTCTTAATCCCAGAGCCTTAGTGAATTAAGCAGGTTTGGTGCAGAGCTGCATTTCTGAGCACAATTGGGATAATCACTGCCAAGTCTTTCTCACCTGTAGTTTGCCACAGTCTTAGGAAGCTACATTTCATTTCACAAAAATAAAAACCCCACACGTTATACTTGAATCTAGGCACAGTTTGAACACAGTTTCAATCCTGGTTAAATAAAGCACCTAAAGAATGAACGAACTGCACAAAACAGTGTCTGTCTGCACTGTATGGACATGAACAATACACTGTTTAACTTAAGCAATGAGGCCAAATGCTCTATCTGCAGTCTCAGTGAAATCCTTTATACATGTTGTGTTCTTTCATAAAGCAGAAAAAATACAAAGGATTTCACACTTAAATGCTTCAGTGTCTGTGCGCAAAAACTTCCTTGTGTGAAAACCATAAAAAAATAAAGACAACTTCATCTCAATGGGGAGAAAAAAAGCAACCAATTTCATTCTGTTTGAAAACTAAAGTCAATTTGTGGAATATTCTTGCGTTGTGGTCTTCTCTCTAAGACACAGGAGACAAATCATTTTTAAATTTTACAAGTAACAATTAAGACATTTGTCCAAACATTAATATTTGCCAAATTGCTGAAATGTTGTAAAATGATCTCAAAATGCTGTCAGCCAAATACATGAGTAGAAGGGCAGTAGCAACAGCATACTCTTAGTGTTTTGATTATGGCTTTTTGCATTGTTTTTACTACAGAGAATAACATTTCCAGGATGTTTCTGCAAGGCTCCTGTAAAATACAAATACATGCTGTTGGGAATTCTTTAATTTAGCTAGCTTTATCATTTTTACTGTTAACATGGTTAATTTGTGCTTGATGCCACACTGAAAGCCAAACAGAACAGTGGAGGCAAAGTTCAGATTTCAGTATTGCTTGAACTATAGACAGTTTTCAGTTATAGCACTGATAATTTTATTTTACAGGAGTTTTATTTTGTCCCCACCATGAATAAAATAAATAATAAGATGCAGCAATCTGCACCCAACATGTATGAAAATGATAAAAATGACAGCTATGCAGTTATCCATCAATTCATGCCTTTTCTTAACTGCTTATCCAACCAGTTTCAGTGGACTGATACCAGCTGATGCTGGGTGAGAGTTGGATGCACCCCGTCCATCACTGAGCAAAAACAAAATGCCGTCTCTGGACAGAACTGGATGAAACCCACACAAGTGATGTGACCACAGTTTTTTTTTCTGGTGACTTTTTCTGGAAGAATTTAAAGCCTTTTTATTTTTAACTTATTCATTAACAGTATTCCAGGGGATCCAAATTTAGTTTGAGAACTACAGACACTGGGGAGGATATGTCCCAGCTCACTAGCGGTTAGGCCATCTTTCGTTCAACTGTCATGCAAATATACTCACTAATCTTATAATCTTCTATTTCATACACATGTTCAGTTCAGAATGAGGCCTCTATTTAGATGTTTTGGCCAATGCAACATTACATGAAGACTTCAAATTCCTTCATAAATCAGAATAGGAATACATTTCTAAGTACTAGATATCTTAAAGTTCCGGATAGACAAGTTAAACTAATACTACGGCTAGAGTGGCGGCTTTTATTGAACCACTAAATGAGGACAGCTTGCTTAAAAAGAAAAAACTAATCATAAGCATAAGCCGCTGTTGGTTCATCTGTAATTAAAAATTTAGAAAATGTGTTGTCTTATACCAGGTGCAAAACCTCAACAATTACACACTTACCCACATGTTCTATAATAATCCAGTACCAGCACCAACCTGTTTCTTAGGTTTAGCCCAAGGTATTTGCATTCTTACCTGCATGGGAGCTGATGGGTAGATATCGTCACTGGTGGAGTCCACCACGTCCTCCTCGTCCAGAGTGGCTCGCCTGTATGCGGACATCTGAAAAGTCAAATTAAGAAAAGACTCTCTCAGAGCTTCCATGTTGCTTCAAGCATCTAATAACATCCCACTAACGTGTGTGAGAGTTTTTGCGTGCGGTGTCTGTTCTTCAGGAATTTAAGGCAGAGTAGGGTTTCCCTCTAAAATCCATCAGGAGAAAAAAATTATCCGGTTTACTTCTTTCACTCACACAGCAAAACTACTTGGGGGAAAAACAAATGGAACATAAAAAAACAACACGTGTTGGTCTGCCTTTCAAAGCACTTTTCTGCTCCCTCCAGTTCTCTCAACACCTCCAAACACCCCCATGGCTTCAGGCAGAGAGACCCTGCAGCAAACTTCACAACAGTAGGAAAACCTCCTCCTCCTGAAAGTACGATCTCCTTGCGCTTCTCCTCTCCCTCTCTTCCTGAGCAAAGTTTCTGTAGACTTCCTTTTCAGCACGGTCTGTGCAAACACGGCAACAGAGAAGCCGGAACTACTGAAAAACGGGAAGTAGCTCTGACTTTTACATGACTGAGACTGAGTGTATGGTACAGATTGTGTGAGCGTGCGCGTCTATGTGAGTGTGTGTGAAAGCACATACTCAAATGTGGTTTCACTTAGATTTGTGGAGGCAAGCGCGCAGTTGTAGTTCACGCCCTTTGTCTTTTCTATAGGACACAATGGACTGGGAGGAGGAGCACAGAAAAAAAAACCAACAACAATCTTTTACATACATGCTCAGTTTCTTTTGCAATTGTTACCTGAAAGTCATAACAGCCACTTCTTCTCATGTTTAATCCCTCACCCAAAAAGGGGCACAAACATGAAAAAGCTGTTTTAAAAAAGAAGCCAACCGGAAGGGAAGTTGTGAGTATATATGCTGGGGAGAGTGATTATCTGATTGGGGACAGGTGTGGTGGAAAATTGGAGGGAAACGTAAGAAGGACCAGAAGCAAAGCTAACAGGAATGAACATGGTCCAAGGATTACAAAATAAATCAGGAAGTGACAGAACAGAAATCCTGCACCATGACGTGTAAGTGGAACCTGTCATCGGTATAACCTAAACACATAAGACAAAGAATATCTACAGCTGACCATAATAATGGATTGGATTTATATAGCACTTTCCAAGGCACCCAAAGCACTTTACAATACCACTATTCATTCACTCTCATACACTGGTGGAGGTAAGCTACAGTTGTAGCCACAGCTGCCCTGGGGCAGACTGACAGAAGCGAGGCTGCCATTTCGCACCATCGGCCTCTCTGGCCAACACCAGTAGGCAAGTAGGGTAAAGTGTCTTGCCCAAGGACACAACGACCAGGACAGAGAGCCCAGGGATTGAACCGGCGACCTTCCGGTTACAGATGCGATTTCCAACCCCCTGAGCCACGGTCGCCCGACCATCAGCAGGCATTCCTTCTTTGGGAAGTATATGTAAAAAATAAAAGAAAATGTATCATGGCTCTATTTATTAAAGCATAATGTCTGGCTGATTTAAGTGGGTAAGCGACACAAACACCAATAATGCACAACCACACTAACTTTCCGTTATAAAAAGAAAAATAACTTGAAAGGTAAGGTAATACTAAGAATATTTCATAATAATGTATAGAAATAGCACTTCAAAGTTTCCTTTATGAGCTGGAGTGGGAAGCTGGTCACCAAATAACAAAGAAGTTTAACCCTAGCTGAGGCTTGCACATGGATCCATTTATTAGACAACACATCATATTGCAAATCATTTTAATCTGCTGAAGAAGCTATAAAGATTTTATAAAGCAGCTGCTTTATTTTTGACCTGTGATGATGGGAGGGAGAGCAATAAGGTTCTCATAGCATTGTGTCTAGCACTGTAGCCTATTTTTGAATCTGCCGCCCAGCTGGAACACGTGTTCTTCCTGTGGGTACTCTGGCCCCCTACATGAATCCAAATACATACATGCTAGCTTAACTGTTGATTTTAAGTTGGCCGTGGTTGTGAATGGCAGCGCGCATGATTGTCTGTCTCTCTAAATGACTGGCGACTAGCTAAGACCCTGAACTGAATAAGAAAAATTGGATGAATGGTGATGCTTTTATGACCAAAAGAATATGAGCAGGAATGTGAGCAGGGGAAATTAGCTTTCTCTGAAGGGTGTCTCGGCTAAACCTCAGCATGATTTAGTACTGTGCTAACTATATAACTGTAAGCAAGAGACAGTTACAACTTTTATTACACAGAGGTATCCTCCCTGTGTTACTCAATATACTGAGGTTATACCATATAATGCTACCAAACAGCCCTATCACAGCTGTTGTGGTCTGTATGGCAGAAACATGTAGTTATATTACTGTGAAGGTGCACGTCATTCTGTGGTGCAGGGTACAGATTTAAACCATAGCTGTCTATCCTTTCATTTTTCAGTGCTTATCTAGGTTGGGGTCACAGGGGTAGCAATTTAAGCAGAGATGGCCAGAACACCCTCTCCCCAGCCACCTCCTCTTCCAGGGGGACACCAATCAAGCCTGGTGGGTAGGGGTGGGACGGCTCCTCCAGGTAGAACATGGACAAATGGGGACATGGAATATCAGTTAAATCCTACAGTGTCAACGAAACTGGATACACGATGGATGGACATAAAGAAACTTTCATGAATGACTTATATAGTGTTTACGTTTTTATTTAGTTTTTAAGATTTATCTCGTTTATTTTCTTAAAAAGCACTACTTTCTCATGTCTCCTGTATTTCCTTTTTCTTCACTCTGTGTCACTACCACTCACTTCCTCTTTTTCAGTGTCATATGTGTCTTTGTGTGTTACTTTGCCACTTTTGTGCTTCCCCTGCCCCACCCTCATTAGGTTCACCTGTCTTCATTTATTTTCCTGTCTCGCCCCGTGTCACTGGTTAGGCTGTCTGCTGTTCCACCTGGTGTCCCTCCTTGTGGTCTCGTGGATTACTGTGGTGTTTGCACAAGCCTTTTGGACTTTGTTTAGACTTGTAATTCTTTTTTGGGTGTCAATGTTGCAGCTAAACCTGCCTCTTGGGTTCTACATTTTTGACCTTTAATCACATTTAAAAAACTAACACACAAAAAAAATGTTAGTGGTGGTGTTTAAATTAAGCAAAATTTAAAACCCATCTGAGTTTATGAATGTATTCATAGCAGCCTGTTTCACAATAAATCTCAAATATTTGAATAATTGGACATCATTTTTGGGGAATATTAAACTACACACCACAGTATAGTTTCTTGCTTGCAATTCAAAGAGTCAATTTCCAAATGTTCCGATTATTCTCAAAGGCAATGTGCAATCTCCAAATGTTGACGTTACGCTACGTGGAAGCGTATCTGTGACCGGAAGGTCGCCGGTTCGATCCCTGGGCTCTCTGTCCTGGTTGTTGTGTCCTTGGGCAAGACACTTTACCCTACTTGCCTACTGGTGCTGGCCAGAGGGGCCGATGGCGCGAAATGGCAGCCTCGCTTCTGTCAGTCTGCCCCAGGGCAGCTGTGGCTACAACCGTAGCTTGCCTCCACCAGTGTATGAATGCGAGAGTGAATGAATAGTGGCATTGTAAAGCGCTTTGGGTGCCTTGAAAAGCACTATATAAATCCAATCCATTATTATTATTACGTCCAGATGAACAAAATCAACTTTTGGAGAGTTACTTTCCTGGATGGTTGATTGCAATGCGCAATCCATTTTTAAGAGCTAATTTGAAACTTCCAAACCTAAGGAGCTACTTCCTATCACTTACAATTCATAAACAGATCTTTTAGTACAGCGACTGACATTACACAACTTTGTTTTCTAATACTCCCCATAGCCTGTTGCCTCAGAATTACTGGCTCCTATTGATACAGCTTTTCAGGCGTTTCTGGTAACAGGAAAAGATCAGAGTGGCAAGGAAAGCGTTGACTGGATTGCTGCTTTTATTAACAAACTGCGCCACCCAGGTCACTTTCAGCAGCTCTGACATTGAACTGCTAGCTGTGAGGTTACACACACATTACATGCTCTGGAAGTTTTTAAATGCCATCTTGGTTGTTGTTTACATCCTGCCTCTGCCAACCAGGCAACCACGTGTAAAGTCATCTACTCTGTTGCAGCAAGACTCCAGACTATGCATCACAAAAAGTTGTCTTGCTTGTCTTACACAAGTAAGACTGTAGACTTTTGGGTAGTAAATATACATATCTGCAGTTCACTAGTAAACACCTGAAGCACAAGAGGCCAGAGATATAGATCGTTCTTATACTACAATTTCAACACTGTTAACAGGACAATGATTAACTTCAGCTGCCTGTCAACCCGGTAAATGTGTCACCACAATGCAAAACGCCACAGGGGGATATATTAAAAACATTTTTGCCTGGAGTATTTTGATCATCAAGCATATAATCAGACTCTAAAATAGCACTTTTGTCCAATCTTAGTTTTTCCCCTTGTGGGCACAGTTCACATGTTAGCCTTTTGACCAAAAACCAAACCCGCGACTGAAATAAATGTTTACTTGATTAAGACTTTATTAGATTGTCTCATAAGCACAGCCAGAAGGTCAGATCCTTTCTTTTAGTTCCCACTCGTCTCTCATAAACAAAAATTGATGTTCCTACCACAAAAATCCTCGAGAATTCCATGCAAACCAGGAGCACAAATTCCTGTGATTCCTACTAAATCTTGGTTTCTATTAGATGAGATTTATGAAATGAACCCCAATGGGAGGAGGGGAACAGTTGAAGTTAAACTGAAAATTTGTTGAGAAAGAGTGTTGGATTTGTTGGTACTGCTGTTCTTGGTCGGCTGCTTGCTGCTTAAATTGTTGTACATAAATAAGCCAACTTAAAAAAAGAAATAGTTACTGAAGCAGAAGGAAACTGAAAAAAAAAATTAAATTAAAAGGCTTTCATTCTGATCAGTAGTATAAAACTTACTAGGGAAGACACTGATACCAGCCAATAACTGTTTGGGGACTTTTATTCTGAAATAAAACTACTGCTTGTTGTTGTCCTCATAACTTCCTAGATCTAACTAGGGGCTTTATTATAAAAAAAACATATCAGGCTTACATTAAGAAGGAAAGTGCTTTCTTTAAAAAAAAACAAAAAACAATAACTCAGCGTTTTTATTTTGGAAACTGGATATATTTTAAAGCACATTGAGCTTACATTAAGAAACCGGTGGCTTTTATTTTGAAAATCTGACACCAAGACCCACGCTGTAGCAGTCGTCATTGTGTTTCTGCGACAAACACTGCAGGATTAGTTGCATGCCAAAAAACAAACAAGCAAAAAGGATGATTCTACATACTTTGCAAAAACCATCACTGTGCTGGTGTGTTTATGAACTCCAATAAAGGGCTGGCAGCTGGCCTGCTGGGTCATACAATCAGCTTATGAAAAAATGGAAGGACTAAAATGATGAGGGGAAAGAGGTAGGGCAGAATATGAGGGCAAAGATACACTTTCAATTATATAAATGGTTTCGAATGGCCTATAGCTCAAAGCAAAAGGTCTAATGGGGACATTGACGTTTGACTTTCTCGTTTGACACACATACGTTTTGCTCCATCAATATTTGA